GGCAGTAGGGCTGGCCAAGGGAGATTGGGAGGAGAAGTGGACCTGGCTGCCCCGGAGGGGGGTGGGGAAAGTGGGGCTGGCCAGTGGCACAGCGGGGGGAGCAGGAGGGAGGAATGAATCGGCCTGCGGGGAGTGGGACTGCCCCGGCCATAGGTAGATCTCGGGGCGCTGCCCCTCTACCCCCCACAAAGCATGAGTTAGTCAGGCCCGGGGATTCTATTGTTCCCCCCCACCACCACACACAAACACCCCTCGAATGGTTGCGAACTGTCTGGCTGGCAGACACACTCATGCAGCCTGAGCACATCTACCAGCCAGGCAGTTCGCAGCTACAGACTGATACACCTAATTATAATAAAACTTATCTATTTAGAAAATTCCAGACTTTTTATATGTCTGGTATTTTCTCAATTTGTTTCCTGGACAGAACCCTCAAATAACAGATTGTCCGTTACAAAACTGGACACCTGGCAACTCTACTCCCCCTTGCATCCTCTCTCCCAGCCAGATACCCTATCCCCAATTTGCTCCTATTCCCACCTCCTGGAGTGCTAATGTGGCAATGGGTTCCTGAAGCCCTGGCTCCAGCTGGGCAGAGGATGCAGCCGGGTGAAACACTGTAAATTTATTCATTTTTCATTCTTTTTTTTATATGCGTTTATATTTTTGGGCTACAAAAAACAATACTGAAAAACAACGGGTTCCAACTAAAGTAAAATTTGGGAAACCCTGGTCTAGCCAGCTTTCTACCCATCTTACAGTCCATTTATCCAATTCATATTCCCTTAACTTGCTGACAAGTATATTTTGGGTGACCATATCAAAAGCTTTGCTAAAGCTGGCACTGGGGGTTTTGGGAGGACCAGAAACAACTTATTTGAATATACATCATTGGCTTAATGAATATGCAAATATGCAAATGAATGTTACTGGTCCTCCAAAAGTCCGTGAATGGATTTACTGGTCCCTGTGTCAAAAAGTTTGGGAACCCCTGGTTTAGCATATTCAATACACAAACAGTTCTGAAGATTTAATAAAAGCGTAACCCAAAAAAATGAAATAAAGTTTGATCATAGTGAAAATAAGAGAACTTCGATCTGATTTCAGATGTGAAAAGATGTTTTATTTTAGATTAAATTTGAAGAGGCTAATTAATTAGTTTGGATGATTATTGCCGTATTATCAATCTTTGTTCTTTTTAATGTTGGAATTTGTTAGTTTGGTTATTAAAAGTAAATTAACATTTAGCTCTATCTGCAGGCTTTAATTGAGCTATAAAAATGCAATTTCTTTCTGATTTTTGTATTGAAATTTAACAAGGTTCCAGTGCTTTATCTAGTTTTCTTTTTGGTGATTTTAAATAGCTTATTGAAATGTTTGTTTTAAAAATACAAATAACAAGCTCACAGAATTCTATAAAGACATAATACCTTAATTAGATAGACTTGTGATTAATTTATTGTTGCTTGTATATGATGAAGCAGTTTTCTTTTTGTAGAATCCTAGCACAGACTTTGAAAGCAGCACCATTCAGAAACAGAGGAAAGAACTCCAGTTATTAGTAGCAGAACTGAAAGATCGTGATAAGGAACTTAATGACATGGTTGCAGTGCATCAAAGGCAGCTATTAGCCTGGGAAGATGATCGACAAAAAATACTGACTCTGGCAGAACGATGCAGCAGGCTAGAAAGTAAGTACTGTACAGTGCAAAGCCCTGGTCCTGTTAGCTGACCCATGTAGGTGGATGCTTGTGTCTTTGCAGGGTTCCTGCGGCATGTAACAATGATACACTTAAAGGATTTTATGTTTTTTCCATTTTAGGAAGCTGTCATCTCTGGACGGCTACTGACAGCTACATTTCAGTGGTATAGATTGGACCTCCCTGGCCTGGCACTCTCAGGTCTTGACAGGACCCAAACAAGGAAGTTTGCCGAACCAGGGGAGGGCACTAGCCTCTCTGCTGGGCTCCGCTACCCCAAGCCCTGCCGGACTGGCTCTCCTCCTTGTTTGCTGGTCCAGTGGCTCTCTGGTCCACCAACATCTGTGGTCCTGCCAGATTATGGATGTTGCTGGACCAGATAGGTTCAACCTGTACTGAAATGGTCTGACTACTGATTGGCAGAAGATGGACTTGTAATTTGATAATCATAGAATACTAAAACTGGAAGAGACCTTGAGAGGTCATCAAGTCCAGTTCCCTGCCTTCACGTTTGGACCAAGCACCATCTATATCCATGGTCACCAACCTGTCGATTGCGAGGCGACCCAGCTTCCTCCCCCCCCCCCCCCCCCACCGCTCCCGGTCATCCCTTCCAACCCAAAAAGGAGCCCGCACTGGTGCTACCTCCTGCGAAAATGGAGGTAGTGCTGGCTTCCTGCGGCATGGGGGGGAAGTCCCACAGCTGTATGCCAGAGCCGGCATCTCAGGAAGCATGTGGGCTGCTCTTCCTGTGCGCGTAGGAGTCCTGGGATTGTGCCAGCTCCAACTGCTCAGGAAGTGCGCATTGCTGTAGGGAGTGACAGAAGAGTGCGTGTGCTTCCTGAGCAGTTGGAGCTGGCGTGGTCCCGGGACTCCTACTTGTGTGTGCGCACGCAGAAGGAAGGAAGTCCTCAGTGGTGTGACAGACCTGGTTTTTCAGGAAGCGCATCAGCTGTTTGGGGAGGGGGGAAGCAGCGCATGTGCTTCCTGAGACCCCGACCTGGCACACAGCTGCAAGATCCCCAGGTACTGGCCC